TAGTATTTATTAGTAATAATTAGTATGTTACTATTACTATCTCTTGTTACACCTGTTACTAATATTTCTTTTAGGCAATTCAGTGTTTTTTGTAGACCCACTTTTTATTCTTGGTAATGTTTCATGAATGAGGTGGAAAGTCATTCATAGACATTTTTCTAAGACTACATGAAAATATTGCGCAATAACAAGATTGTGTGTATGGGGTAGGAATTTATGCATATTAAAGAGATTTTGTATGTGTACAGGGGACACAGCAATAAAGCATATTTAACAGTTAGTGATGTTATCAAACACTTAGTTTTAGTGGAATTGCAGGAACCACAGACGTCTTATCGAAAATTGGAATGGTGTTCAATATTTTAACTGTGCCTTAAACTGCATTGGCATATGACCTTGATTTCTTACAATTTTCCTTGACTCTCTTTTTTTCAATATATTTGATTGAACTTAACCTTTGCAATTATTCAGATAAAAATTGTGTCCAAATACATTATTTCAAGTTTTTTCTTACAAAATTTATTTTCGCCATTTTTAAACATTAAACAAAATTGCAAAAAAATCAATCCTGTGAAATTAGATTTAAAATACCTTCGGCTTTCAAGAATCAAATCTGTTAGTTTTTATAGATTTACAGAAATCTTCAGCTTTGAAGGAAGGTTAGGTCAATTTAGTTAATAAGGATTGGTTTTTGGCAATCTCTCAAAACAATTATTATCTAAGACTTGCACAATTCTAGTACAAGCAAATTGAGTGCATTCTGTTATATTAGGTTTATATCTCTGAGGGCATATGGAACAGCATTTGTCAATTTGATCTGCAATTGTTTATTCGAAATTTAATCAGAAAATGATAAAACGCGAAAAGGAAATAGCCTCAATTCTGACACAAAACTGTTTATGAGATTTTACTGTGGTTTCTAAGAGTTTTCTCTATGAAAATGAGAACTTGGCAAGGAAATGGGTAAATTAAGATTTAATCAGTTGGTGGAATTAGAGTTATTCTATTTATTACGTCTTTTATGAGAATTAGATAGTCGAAATATTCTTTAACATTTCTTATTGATTGCTGTAGAAACCGACAGAAGAATTAAAGAGACCTACAGACATTGTTTTCTTGCTTCTTAAGGTCTTTGTGTATTGGAGTGACCCTAACCATCTTTTTGCACTAAGCCTGTAACATATTGCACTTTCTGTCTTAGGACAGTAGTACCCCAGGTTGAAACCCCCTGCCTAAGGATTTTGCTTTTTGAAAGTTCGAGATCAAAATTCCCATTATGGAAATCAATTAATTAATACCATTATACCATATGTTGGTATTCAAAATATTTGGACTATTCTGACTGTTTATCAGGATGCAAGGTATTAGTACCTGTACCAGACTTGTACTTATTAGTCAAGTTAACTAATGTTTAGTAATTTGATAAGATTAATTAGAATACTAACAGAAGTGGTGCAGACATCATAATTTAACAAGATTAAAGAGCATCGACTATTAGGTTAATGAATTAAAATTAAGGCATGTTTTTCACTGATGTATATTGCAGGTTATCTGTAACATCATAAACTTTAAAAAAGAGTATGAAAACATATGGGCTTAATTTGAAATTGCTTCATGTAATATAGAAATTCTGTGGGCGTTGAAGATCCAGTTTATAAGGGCAATGTCTTAGTGCAATCCAAGTTGAAGTTAATAGGTTGGAGGGGTGGTGGATTTTAAATAGTAAAATACTTTTCAGTTCTTAGGGCTGGTTTAATGGCCTTGGCCTTCATAGTGACTCGCTTGCTAACCTTAAGATCCACAGTTCAATCCCAGCATAGGTTGAGGTAATACCTGCAGATTTTTTAGTGATGCAGGTTGGAGTGGAAAAGCATCTGGTTATAAAGACAGGACAATAAATCGAGGCTATGTGTGCCACAGGTTGTACGCGTAAAAGATGAAAATGGAAATAAAAGAACAGAAGGCTAATGGTGCTATCCTGGCAAAATTTCCTCATTGTACACTGCATTGAGTTGCCCGCCTTCTTTAACCCATAAGGTGCAGTAGGACGTAAAATTCCATTTATTTCATTTTTGACCTTTATAGCAGTTTTGCTGATATCTAATCGCTTGGACATTGAAACAAGGGGCATTCTGCTGATCTGCAGAATTGAATTGATCCCATTTTGAACACAGCTGGAACAACCTGGGAGGAAAGAAATCAACCATCATTTAGCAACAGGCCTTGAGATTCTTCCAAAGATTTCTCAATTTGAAAGTATTTAAATCTGAAGTTGAAAGCTATAAAATCAGTTGAACTTATTTCCAAGTTTATTTAGAAATCTATTAAAAATAGTTTTATTAGTTACGCAGGCTAGTAATAAGAAATCAAGTACAACCATGCTAAGTTAGAAATAGAAATTAACTAACCAGCCTCCCCATTACATCAAGTTTAAATATCTATCAAGGTCAAATGTCAGAGAAATGATTAGCTTTTAATGATGATAGTGGTCTGTGTTAGTTTCAGGTCTTGAGGTTAGATTACTGAGAGAACGTTTTATTTCTACTATTTTAAAAGGTTGTTGTTTGCCATTTTCAAGAGTTGATCAGTCTAAAGAAGTACTAGAACTGCATGAAAATATACCTCAAAGTAGATAAATCTTTTTATTAGGTTTTTATCTATGGCAGAGTCTTAACAAAAGATGAGTTGTCTAATGAACTATCAACAATTCTGGACACACAAAACTCAAATTTAGATTTACTGATAAGCTTAGCTTAAAAAAATTGGTTTCTGAGACTATGGTTTGATTAATCAAATAAATGGAGAACATGACGCTTCAAAAAGTCCTTTTCAGTGCTTCGCAACCTGAAATGAAGGAGTTAAATTATATCATTATAATTTTTCACACCACATTTTGAAAATGAAGATGGACAATGCCTTGCTGTATTTTGAAAGCAAATATTGCTCCATCCATTGAGCAGCAGCCATTTTAATATCAGCCTCTTTTTTCATCCCTTGTGAGCTTTCCTGCCATCTGAAATACTCTCCAACATAGAGCAAACTTAATTTAATTGGTTATTGTGACTTATTAATTTAAATGGCAAAGAGGGAAGCTATTAGAACTCAAATTAGACCGACTTTATGAAAGAAAGAATATTATGCGGTATACAATATATGATAGACAATTGTTTGCAATGAAATGAAATGTATCAAGAGTTTTAAATTTTACATTTCTACTCCTGAGAGGCCAAAAAACATAGCTATGCATTGCTTAGACTGAAACATCTGTCTCTATTCCAGCCTCTGATTTGGACAGATATCAGCTTGTGTAAAGACAGAAAAATAGGCCCTGTTAAATGGGGACATTCTGCATCTCCGCAGGTGCAGGGGTTTTAAACCTGTTTAGATACCTCAGATCTGCTAAACCAAGATATATTTTGAAAGATGAATATTTTTATAGTTCAGTCATACCATCATTTTTTTTTTGCGAAACTGATCTAGCATCGGCCAATTAAAACTGCATGCACAGCCCAAAGTTTAAAGGTCACAGAGTCACATGATACTAACAAAACAAAAGTTACAGTGATGCCCAACACTAATTTACAATCATCTTAATGGTAATTCAATATTATGTTAGAGAAAATGCATGTGGAAAATCCCCATTTAACGGGATCTTTTTCTTCTGACTCTACTCCAGCTAACAACTTAATCCAAATATCAAAGGCTGATATTTCGGACTATGCATTACCTTGAATCAGTGGCTCTATGTAATATGGAAATCTTCAATTCCTGATTTAAAACATAACCCAAATGCTGCTGTCTGAAAACCTAATGTTGAACATGTATTAAACAGGAAAATTACATCACTCTGTACTTCCAGACTGTGGCATTGATTCAAATTCTCTATTAGAAAAACATGTTCACAGTGATTTGTCATGTTTTTTTAATATTGAAATGAGAGTTTATGTAAGAGTTTCAAGTTCTGGTAGAAACCTGTTAAACCTTAGACACAACATTAGGTTTTAATCAAAAACAACACTACCACTTTAAATAGTAAGGTTGTTGAAAAACAACTCAAGATTATCAATTTTTATGCCTATAATGTTAAAGATGGGTTTCTTTATTTTTTAGTGTCAAATTGAGCAAACTATTTGATTAATTGGTGTTTCTAATGAATTATCAAGAAATCTTAAATCATATCATTATGTTCTTATTGCATATGATTAAGAGTTTTAACCAATCATAAATGTCCATGTATGTACAGTCTGGATAAACAAAAAAATACTTTTTAACCTTTCTTGATCAGTCACTCCACTCATTGGAATTCTGCTGGTAATTCTCTTCTAATTTAGCTAATTATGAATAAATTATGTACATATGAGAAATTAGAACACCTCTACTTTCTATTCATATAAGCATATAGCATTTTCATTTTCATAATTGAAAATAAGGGAAATCCATCTTTAATGATTCAACTTATTTGGAATGCATGTGACTAAACATATATTACTTTATGAATAACTTGTGATGTACAGATGAACTGTTGTCTTGCAATGATGGAATAATACCAAATTAGCGTATATTATTTGAGACATACCCAAGAGGCAGTTAGAAGTATCTCAATACACAGCAAACATTCAGGAGCCTACAAAGAATTTCTATTTGATGTATATCTAAACAGAATTGATTTGTGGAGAAATTTTGGGATGAGGTTGGATAATTTTTACTCAATATATAATATTAAATAATTGAAATGGTGCACTATACAATTCAATGTATTTTAGAAGGTGTAAAGTTATGTTTTATGTATTATAGAATAATGAGATGAATAATGTCACTATCAGTAGTAACATAGAGTTTTCTAAATACCACTTGGCACCATGCCTAACAGATGCAATATTGCAGTTGTAGTATTTATTGAACCTGTTCACCTACTTCTCTTTGACACTTCATCTTATGAAACTTGGTTAATTCTGTGGTTTTCTATTGTAGGTATGCACTGATTCTAATGAAAGATACAATTATATGACTTTAAGAAAATACAGAATGACTTTTAAAAAATACAGAATGACTTTAAGAAAATACAGAATGACTTTTAAAAAATAGAGAATGACTTTAAGAAAATACAGAATGACTTTTAAAAAATAGAGAATGACTTTAAGAAAATACAGAATGACTTTTAGAAAATACAATACATAATGATTGTCTTTTAGAAAATACAGAATGACTTTTAGACAATACATAATGGCTTTTAGAAAATACAGAATGACTTTTAGACAATTTTAGAAGATATATGTCCTTGATTTTTAGAATATACAAAATATGCGGATGCAGGCCATAGCTACAGGGAAGCCAGGGGAACAAATTCTGACAACCGACCAATTCCATTACTGCAACTAGACACCATACACCTTTGCCCCTCTAGATATATATTACCCTCAGAACAATCAAATCTGGCTACGGGCCTATGCAGATGATATAACTTAACTTTTAGAAAGTACAATGTTACCTTTAAGCAATTTATGTCTGGATTGAAGTTGAGCCACAGGACAATTCAAATTCAGTTCATAATTGACAACACCTCATTATTGAAATCATTTGAATTCATGTGCATTCTCTTTAAAAGTACATGTGCTCTACAATGGTATACTATTATGTTAAAGTTAGTAACATGTGTTTTGATTGTTGTTAAGACAATGGTAGTATGACATAGTTAGTCAAGTTTATTGTTATAACTAACCTGAACATATTTATTATTCAATATGTCTAAACTCATGTTCAACATCATGTTTACACTTATATTGTCACATTAATATCGTCAAGAAACTAGGCCGTCAATTTATTAAAAAAATTAAGATACAACGTTCAGATATTATATTTTCAGATATAATTACCAATGTTGATTTATTTTAACATTCAGATATAATATTTTCAGATATTACTATCTGTTGATTTATTTTATCATTCAGATATTATTATATTATTATCAGTGATGATTTATTTCAACATTCAGATATAATATTTTCAAATATAATAACCAATGTTGATGTATTCAGGTGTAATTTTTAAATTTATAATTGCCATTGTTGATTAAATCAACATTCAGATATTATTATATTTTCAGATGTTATGTCCTATTTTGATGTATATCAACATTCAGATTGCCAATGTTGATGTATAGCAGTATTCTGATATAATATTTTCAGATATAATTACCAGTGTTGATGTATATCAGATACTATTACAATTTTAGATATAATTACTTGTGTTGATTATTTCAAAACTAAGATATTATATTTTCAAATAAATTTACTAGTCTTCTTGATTTGCTAAAAATATATTTTCAGATATAATTACCAGTGTTGATTTATTTCAACATTCAGATATAATTGGCTATGTTCAGATGGTAATAGATATTGAAGGCAATCAGCTACTTCTAGGTGCAAGGTAAGCAATTTTTTTTAATTGGAATTCTCTTATAAAAAGCCCAGTATAATCAGTTGAAAACAAATCAAGCAAGATTATTTTTTAGCGAACTGAATCTATGAATGAATTTTAGATACTAAAATTTTTGTTATGCTCACTAATATTCAATAGAATATTGAACTCTTTAACTTTTGAAAAGTGAAAAAAGTCTGTCATTTCATTAATTTCTGATATTTGATTCCAGGGATTGTTTATTTCGTCTGTCATTAGATGATCTAGCTCAAATTGAATTAGCTGAATGGAAACCAGAAGATCCATCCAAATGTATGTTTAAAGGCCAAGCTCAGGTAATTGTCCAAATTTTTAAAACACTTCTATGCTTGAAGGAGGTTTCCTGGCATCTTTTTGGAATACACTGATTTGACTTTCATTTTTACCAGTTTAAATGACTTTTGTAAACCACACATCATATCCAGTTGTATTTTTCAAAAAACAAGTGCTCAAAACTTTTATAAGATGCAATGACCACTACATATTCAATTTGATGTTATTATGTTATGCCAAAAGTAAATAAAAACATGGTATTCCTGAATGTGCTATTTTGTAGGTTTATGAAAGTTTTCTTCTCCAAGTGTGTTACATTGAAAACCAAAAATCATAGTTTTGATCTCTTTTTTAAATATACCATTAAGCGAGCTGTTTTCTCTTTTTGCCTGTAACATCCTTTTTTGATTTTATTGAAAAATTTGAGAAATTTAAAATATTGAGACATAAAAGGGTCATTAAACAATTGTTGTAATTTAGATTGTTGATTTTTAGAGACAAACATCACATCATATTTCATGCCAACATTTAATATCTAATCTTTAAAAAGGAGTTAAAAAGGCAGACATAAGCTAGTCTGACAGGGACAAATAGTACAATCAAGTTTCTCTTTTTAAAAGTTTTTCGTGAAACTAGGCTACATTGTTGAGATGATTGTTACTGTAATGAAGTTAGGTTCAGGTCTAGTGATAATGAATACTGTGTAAAATTTTAGATCCTCTCTACATAATGATACAGCATACCTCAATGATTTAATTAATCTTTTCAAACTTGCTGTACTGTTTGATCTCAGCGCAAAAAATTAGACTTTTGGTTATCACATACTGTACATTCTAAAAAGGGGTCATTTTACTGATATTTTTTATGGAAAAGAAAACCTAAAGTTTATTTTTCAACTTTTCTGCACCCAACCAGGCTAATACGAAATATGTTTTGTGTAATGAAAGCCATTTTAACAAAGCAGTAAGAGTCTACTGTTTCAAGTGGTCTTTAAAAGATTCACCATTACCTCTATCATCTTTTTAATTTAACATATCAGTATAAGCATAAATCAAGGGCAATAATCCTTAAAGATTCATTGAAAAGTAATATCCAACGCACACAAGATCATGTGGATGTACAAAAAGAAATTTTCGGCCAAAAAGAATAAGAACTACGAGCTTTTGTACAATTTGAAATCAATCGTTTGTGATGATTTAAAATGAATAAATGTCTATGCAAATAAAATTCATATTGTGTTAAAAAAGAAATAAAAAATGCACAGGAAAAATATTTTAATTGCATGCTTTTTCAACTATGAAATATGAGCTTGAGGCATTTGATTATAACTAGAAGAAAACAATACTAATGATGTATTATAATACACATAAGAACAAAGTGTAATCTGACATCTCTTGCATCAAATAGTAATAAATGTATGCAATTAATCTTGAGAAAAATGACAAGGCATAAATAACCACACATGTAATAGTACAATAATAGCTCTATGGTAAATTAGTGTAATACGTGCATGTACATCATCTTTATATTTTGAAAGGTGTTGGAGTGTATTTGATTTAAACCCTTGCACAATTAAGCAAGAAGAATTGATAAACCTAATTATTGTCAATTAAAACATTTTTGAATCTTTTTCGGCATTTTTTATGAGAACTCAAAGACATTCTAAGACTATCAGTACTATTTTGAGGCTGATATTCCAATTCTCTTTAAAGACAGAAAAAATTCAAAAAACGTTTTTCTTTGCTCAGACAATAGTCTTGGTCAAACTATAGAACTTGCCCAATAAGATGTCTGTTCCCTCACTGATTCCACCACTGAAAAGAAGGTACGAGACTCAATTTCAATAGACCAAATTTCATCTGACAAGAAAAAGTCACTTCACCAAAGATTGATGTACTTGTACTTGCAGTTTCAAGTATGTAGATAAAGTTACTTTGAATGACATCAAGTGATATAGATATATAATTAACCACTGTAAAGTGGACATCTAATTCTTACTCAACATTAATTGGATTGTCAATACATCTCTTCAACTGTAAATTCACAAGGTTTGTCAGCCATCTCCAAATAACAAAGGTATATCTGGTATAGCTAGATTAAAACCTGACCTGGGATATAAAAATTGGTTTCAATTCCCACAGGAATAAAGTAATGTTATAGTGAATGATCCATCTTGGTGTTTGTTTCTCTTGACCTCATCTTACTTGCCTACAGAACAGAAATAGATTTTGAATTTCGAAAATCAGAGAGGAATGTTTGTTGCTTATGGTACAAGAATATAATTTTCGTTCATATATCTGGTAGGCTTTTGGCTAAAAATAAGATGCTTAATTGAGCTTTCTGTAGTAGCATCAGGTGTTCTGAAAGAGCGAACATGCTATGTCTAGCAATGATCATCTGTCACAGTTGTTGTAGCAATTATCATCTGTCACAGTTGTTGTAGCAACAGTAACTGTTACAGTTGCTATAGCAACAAAATCTGTAACAGTTGCAACTCAGCTTAAAACATGTGTAGTTATTAGCACAGTCTGCCAGCAGTTCCCATCAAAGCATTAAAGTGTTTTTTTTTACTGATTTTTGGGATTATCAGAAATATTTTTGGTAAAATTGTGGTATTTTTCTGGATAAAAATAAATGAAAGATTGAATTCTTTAAAATATTACTGGACTGCCGTGCCTATTAAGGATCATCTCTTCTTATATTATATAATTATAATACATCTGTATGCATTTGTCTTTGAAGTAAAGATTAATAAGTCCTTTGGCTTAGACTTGCATATTTAGTCCATTGATATATACTCATTATGCACATTGAAGTGAAGATGATGTTAGAGGAAAAATGAAAGGTTTTTCATAGCTTTAATGTTAGGATTTTAAAGGACAAGTTGATTTCCTATTTCAATTAGATCAAATATAATTTGTCTTTTATCTTCAGTTTTATAATAAGTATTCCTTGATGTTTTAAAGTTGGGGGTGTGTTGTGAAGAACATTTTAAGTTGCAAAAATCTTCGTTAGAAACGACCATGAAGATTTGTTTTTCTGGGCAGTGATCAGGAACATTTCTGACTAAAGAACAATCTTTTTGGAAGGTTTTGCTCATGTATTCCAATTTCCAAATGACTAAAACATCTTGACCAGTTCATTTTGACAAGACCAGAACAACTGTCTTATTTTCCCATGCAATATTTCTCTTCATTGCACACTGCAGTGCTTTTCTTGTCTTTAAATGGGAAACTGGCTTAGAAGAGTATTCAAATTCATTGATTCGTTAAATATAATGTACTTAGATTTTATCAAATGACCTATCCTGCAGTCATATGGTCTGAAAGTGACCACTGTAATACAAGAACTTGTTAAACAGATTAAATGGCCAAAGTTTTATTGACCATCCCATGTTGTGGTCACCAAGGCTATCAAATGAATGGTCTCAGTAAGTTGATAATGGCTCTGTTTAGAAACATGTGGTCAAGTGGACAATAGGTTTATGAAATTTAAGATCTAGCTAAATGACTTGAGAAAAATCTTCATTGAGAATGCAACACTTGACCAAACAGTGGGAAACAAATACAATGATTTTTAAGTTGGGTGCTAAAATATGAGCTTAACAAAATAAACAAGATATCTGTAAGAAAGTGATTTAGATTATATTTTTGTTAGACATCGACCAATTGTTTTGAAAAATTTTCACTTTCCAAAAATTATTGTATTTGTGGTCATCACATTTACAACTATTTTCTGTGACTTTAAAATATGTAGCCTATACCTAATAGAGATATAAGCTATGTGGACTCTCTGAAAGGTGTGCCAAGTTGAAGAATTGAAAAGTGCGCATGAGCTTGTAAAGCTCAAATTTGGCAAAATCTTTAGAATATTTTGTTATGCATATGTATATATTTTTAAAGCACTATATCTCAGAGGCTTTTTTATGCCTCCAAAGGCAAAAACTAAAACAGAAAGCTGATTGCACGAGATGATATAAATCTGATTGGTCATTCAATATAAATTTAGTTTTGTTAACCAATCATTTACAGTTTTAAAAAAACACTTTATCTTAGATCAGTTTTGTTAAATAAGTTCCAGGGCCATAACAACCAACAGGTTAAAAAAATTATTTCAATCTTGTGTCCTTGACCCATATATCTGATCTTGTAGAATTAAGAAGCAAATATCAAAATATCTGGTAAAGATGATAAATCTCAAGTTAGTTTCTAGTAAACATTGTGATGAGCCTTTAACTGGGGTAAACTGAATGACTGTAACAAGCCTCTTTATGTACTAAATAGCCTGGTGTCTGTCTAATCTAGCTATTGTTAATATGTAGGTATGCATAAATTTTGAATATGATGCCTGTTTATGTTATGTAAGCTATATGAAATATGAAATAAGGCCTACATAAGAGGTCAAATAATGATATTAAAATATCAACCATGTGGACCCTCATAAAAGAAACTAAACTTGAGTTTTATGTCCTACTTTTCGGTACCTAATAAGAACATGGACAAAGCTATGCAGTGTGCAGTGAGGGAGTGACATTAATATTGTGAGGTTCTAAAGCACAGTCGGTAAGAGCATTGGCTATTTGCATGACGTCATTTGCTTGGTTATGTCCAGCAAATAGTGGATGTGGATTCCGATATCGATCGGTGTGTATAAGTCTGATGACCTTAAATAAGTCATCTTCAAAGATCAATTCCAAGAGGTTAGGCCAAGAACCAGCTGGTAAAAAGGATACTTAACTGTGAACCTTTTCTAGTCTTTTTGTTTTTCAATTTAAGATCCTCACGTGCAACGCCTACAGCCTCTAGAGTGTCCAAAATCAAAAACTTTGAGATAATGCCTAGTTATAAAGTGGAATCAAGAAAATTTCTATCAAATTTAAAGATTAGCTTTATCAATGCCATGACATGGAAGTTGGAAAAAATTGAAGTCTGTATCATGACACAACCCTTGTTGATATTGGACCAGTTTGATAATATATATAAATATTATGATCTAGATGGATATAATACAGTACCGGTATGTAATATAATTATAAATATAAAAACAGACATAATTTATAATGTAAACAATACAGTAGTGATAGAAACCACTTGCTGTTGATTAGCACCTATATGATTTATAATCTAATCAAGATTGCTGTCAGCTCTCTTAGAATGGTGGTTGGAGTCCTGTGGAATGGCACCTATATAATTTATAATCTAATCAAGCTTGCTGTCAGCTTTCTTAGAATGGTGGTTGGAGTACTGTGGAAGAACTTTTTTTTTTCTTTAGCGTTGAGTTTGTTTTTTAATCCGAATCCAAAAATTTCCTATTTTGTCCAAAGTGTTTTGTATGCATTTATAAGGATTACTCTGCAATTTTTTTAAATGATAAGTTCATCACTAGTGTTTCATGTTCATTTTTGCGAGCTTGCTGTCAGCTCTCTTAGAAAGGAGGTTGAAATACCGTGGAAAATTTTTTTTTTCATTAGCATTAAGTTTTTCTTTTTGTCTGTATCCAAAGATTTCCTATTTTTCCTAAGTATTTTGTATCTGCAATAGGCAGATATTAGATCATGAGATCCACTAAACTTTCAAGTTACTGGACCAAACCATCACAGTTTGCCCAAGGGCATCGATAAACTTGCATAGAACAAGATTGGCTGTCACCTGAAATTTTGTCAATGATACGTTCATCACTAGCGTTTCATGCTGATTTTTTACAGAATTTGTTTGACAATTATGGGCCATCCTCCTTTAAGAAAAGTAAAAACCGTTATTAAGAAAAAGACTATGGCTTCCATTACATCTTGCGAAATCTTATTACTGCAATGACAAGTTTCGAAAATTGATATTTATGATAAAACACAGAAGCCTAACCATGAAACATGTTGTCTGTTATTTTACTCAGTGATATGACCCAGACATTATATGAAATATCTATTAAGATTTATTAAAATACATTATATTATATAAATTGTGAATATTTCTTTTGAAATTCATGACCTGGAAATCATGTCAAATGGTTTTATTTTCAAGTACATTTGTAAAAGATCTAATATATGCCAATTGTTCAATTTGACATTACATTCATTTTGGTATGTGTTATCAATGACATGAATTGAAATCAAGTGGACAAACTCAGTCTAAATAAAATTGGCTGAGTTTTTGGAAAGGTCAGCTTGCCACAAGGTCAGAGCACTGAACGATATTCACAATATATTTACATATAGACATAACAGATATATTAATATTACACAGAAGTTTATATACTTTTCATAGAATGCTGTAATGAGTTTAAAGTCCAAGTGACTCAAAGATCTTGATGAAACAGACTCTGAACAAATGAATGTATTTCTGCTTGTGGACACAGCGCACTTGCTGACCCTGAAAGCACTTCTGTTGGATTTAAGAAGCAATGCAATCAACTTTAACCACAAAGTCAGCTTACGAGGTTCCATAGCACAGTCAGTTGGAATGTTGGTTTTCCATCTGCTTTGTTAGGTCAAACAAATGGCGTCTGTGCAGTTTCTTATCTTGATTGACCTGTGAAAGCTTGATGATTATGAATAACAGGTTTGGCCAAGGATCAGCTGGTAGAAAGGATCCTTAATTATGAATCTAAGTTGTTATCTTTGTAATATAGTTGTTTCATTCTTTCTTTTCTTTCCAATAGGAGCCTGCTCGGCTACAACTTGATGGTCTTTGAACCTCCAATGGTTAAACTTTTTGAAAATATGTTGCTATGGTGATTCCAAAATTCAAGGTTTTGGTTAGCGGTATCAAGATCTAAAATGAATATTATTTTATTTGCAGGAAGATTGTCATAATTTTATTCGAGTATTATTATTACATGATGAGATGATATTTACCTGTGGTACCAATGCTTTCAAACCTCTTTGTCAATGGAGATACGTAAGTATTTGATTTGTAATATACTCCTGACAGTGTGTCATTAATATTGGCATTAGCCCACTGTTTTTTTTTCCAACTGAATCAGGGATCTTTAACATGCACAGCCGGTAGCACACAGAGCATGGTTATTGTCACATCTGAACAAATAGACACCTTTTACATATCAGCCCCATTAGGGGGAAACCAAGTTGAAATGTCTGAAGGAATATCTTGACCTATGCTGAGATTGATTCTGGATCTTCATAAGCGAGCAAGCATCCAATTGCCATACAGCAGATACCAAATAAGGTTTGGTTCCACAAAGGGTTTCTTTCTTTGCAGGCCAGTAATTTAACAGCAATCAACGGTACAGTTGATGGTAGAGCTAAATGTCCCTTTAATCCTCATCATAATGCTACAGCTCTAATCACAGATGATGGTGATCTTTATACTGCTACTGCTGTAGACTTTGCTGCAACAGATCCTTCTATAAATAGAAATCTTGGTCCATCTAAACCACTTCGTACTGTCAGATCAAATTCCAAATGGCTCAATGGTAAGTTAGGATTTGTATAATGGAAAAGGCTCAGCATAATCAAATTAACACACCCAGTGATATTTTTGAAATTACTGGTTTCATTTAAGGGCTGTTTTGATCAACTTTTTAACTTGATTTAACTTGATTTAACTTGATGGGTTTTCTTTGGCTGCAGTTTCTGGAAGGGATTTTTTTGTACTATGTTTGATTTTTATTTAGTAATTATCCTGAGTAGTATGAAATTGATCAATTATTATAATTTATTTTTCAGAACCTAATTTTATATCAGTCTATGAAATAGATGATTTTATTTATTTTTTCTTCCGAGAAACTGCTGTTGAATTTATCAATTGTGGGAAAGTGAGTATATTTGTCATTTATTTACATTTTATGGGGTTCACCAATGGAAATAGAAAGTCTCTTTGATACAAAAGAATTGATTCAATATATATATGCTTATTATAATTTATTAAGATTACAATAAATTGAAAAAATAAATTCTTAGCTTGAGTAGATATTGGCATTACCATGTCTGCAATCAAGCTTTATACATGGGGTGTATAAATTTATGTCTAAATTTAAAAGCGAAAACCCTTTGGTAGCCATTTATGTATCAATAAAAATAATATGCTATTACTGGATGACATCTGACAAAATTCCAATGAGAATAATTGGTTTTATTCTCAAAATGTCTCAATTTAAAAGTGAAAACGCTTGGGTAGCCATTATGCATCCACAGGAATACAAGAACTCGTGCTGGATGACATCTGACAAAAAAACTATCAGTGGTCAGATAACAGAAGAAAACTTGGATCAAACTTATAAATGTGACCTGACACCACAAAATGAGTTGCTTGTCGCAAATACTTATTTTGAGCTGCGGCCCTCCAAAGGTCAAGTGGATTTTGGATAAAACTCTTGATTATTGCTTTTAACATCATAGGACATTGGTTGCTATGGTTTTCATAACCATTTTTCTAAGCTAAATTTTTCAAAAAAAATTTGATTTTAAGCAGGAAAAGTATATGTACTAAAAGTGTAATAATTCAGTCAATTTTTGAGATAATTCAAATATTTTGGTATCATTTTGAAGCTTTAACCTTCTTCTTTCCAATGGTTTATGCAACTCAGTACCTCCATTTGGCCCAATGTGAGTCATTTCATGCTCTTTGGTCACATATAGTATATACAGGTGGTTACAACTAATTATTGATCAAATATTTTGATTTGGCTTGACTTTGTCTTGTCGATAGTAAATCAGTGCTAGATATGGTGACACAAGTCATTTTAATCTTAACTATATTATAATTAGTCCGACCCAGCCTAAACTACACTGTGATAATTACCCTATTCTCTCATGTAACAAAGATATCATAAGGTCAGGGAGGTGACCTCTCCAGCTGATTATATCAGTATATAATTATATGAATGACATGTTGTTCCCAGTCAAATGATCTTCATATCATTGTATGAATTATTTTGAAAGTGAAAATTATTACTCTCATGACAAATGTTTGGGATCTCTCAGAGGTTCTATAGCACAGTTGGTTCTTTACATGACGTCATTTGCTTGGTTACATCGAGCAAATGGTGGCTGTGGGTTCTGATCTCGATCAGCATGCAAAAATCTGATGACCTTGAATAAGTTTATCTTCACTCATAATTCCAGTCAACCCAGCTGTAAATGGGTACGGATAATCCGGGAAAAATCAATGCCAAGAAGTTTGACCAAGGACCAGCTGGTAGAAAGGATCCTTAACTGTGAACCTTAGTTGTTATCCTTGTAAAATATAGCTGTTCCTTTCTTGCTTACTTTTATGGCGCTCCAGAATTTGATCCCAGCAACATTACCTGGGTTTCTCCTTGTCAATGATGCAATTCAGATTGGCTGATCTGGGAAATGGGTGTTTGGATAGGACCATAAACTATTGGCTGGTGTGCAACAGACTTGCTGAATAATAAAGAGTAATTCCAATATTATGGCCAAATATCCGTTATTGGACCTTGTATTACATTACTCATTTCCCATATTAAGAAGAACAGCACGTTGGAAAATGGACAAAGAATTTAAACACATTAGACATAAGCAAGAAGTATTGTTGATCTTGAAACAGCAGCAAGTGTTGTTGATCCAATCAAGTGATT